CCGACGTCACCCACCCGTCAGGGCTGGCCACGGGGCCCAGCAGCCTCCTGCCTTCACCCCTGCGGCCCTCAGTAGGTTCCAGAGTTAACAGCCAGCTCCCCCCCGCCACCGGCCACCACCTGGGAGCGGGATTTAAATACCCAGAAAAGGCTCAAAAGGGACAATTTTGGCGCTTTGTCGCGTTTTTCACCTCAAAGGATCCCCCCGCCGCCCCGGTTGCCCCCTCGGGGCTGCCCCAGATGGGGGAGGGGAAGCACCCCCCCATCCCACCCCCCCGAAAAAACTGTAATTAGACCAAACGGCTTTAATACCTGGTGTATTAATTAATTACTCCCAGAGCAGCCGCTGGGCTGGAGGTGCCCGGCTTCCCCAGCGTGCCGCCATGAGTGAGCAGGTGCGTGCAAATGTGTGTGTGTGAGTGTGCAAGAGTGTGCGAGCATGGGAACACACGTTGCAAGTGTTGCAAGCTTGTGCAAGGCTATGTAGGCACGTGCATGCGTTTGAGCAAGTGTGCGCAAGCGTGCGCAAGCGTGCAATTGTGCATGCATGCTCAAGAGCGTGCAAAGGTGTGCAAGCACGTGCACACATGTGCAGGTGCTGCAAGCATGTGCACAGAGTTGCAAGCACGTGCAAGCATGCACAAGCACATGCAAGTGTGTGCGCAAGCCCAGGCAGACGCATGCCTGTGTCGCAGGCCTGCGCAGTACTGTGCAAGCCCGTGTGCGTATGTGCGTGCACTTGCATGTGTGTGCAAGTGTGCGCAGGCACACAAGCATGCACAGGGGTGCACGTGTTTGCAAGCGCCCATATGAATGCGCGTGCATGCATGTGCACACCAGTGTGCAAGCACGCATATGTATGCAAGCCTGTGCATGCGGCTGTAAGTACGTGCATGTGCATGCAAGCGCGTGCAAGTATCTGCAGGCATGTCCCAATAAAACCCCATGGACGGGGATGTTGCCCAGGGCGGGCACCCATGGGTGGGTTTTGGAGGCGCAGAGCGTAATCCTGCCGAAATCCGGGGGCTCGGCGGCTGTTCTTTGCCGCCGCCCGGGTTTATTTTTAAACCCGTTGGTCCCGAGTGATTCACACGCTGCCTGTTCTCCTCTGCTCCCCGGCAAGTTTTACACGACCAAAATAGATGTTCTGGAAGGAACGGGCTGCGCGGCGAGGCCGCGGCGGGGGAAAGCAGGGTGCTCCCTCCCTGCCAATGGGGATCCCCACCTTCGCAAGGGTGAAAATGTTGCTGAGCCCCCCCAGGATGGTGTTTTTAGGGAGATGCCGGTGCAGACCCCCCTAGGAAGTGAGATTGTGGGGTGGTGTTTTAACCCAGGTCATAAATACCAGGCTTCAGCAGAAGGCACTGTGTTGGGGCATGCCCCCATGCCAGCCCCACTGGCGCTGGAGCACCCCAGGCCCTGCAGGCTGGTGCACCCAGCCATGGGTAAGCCGGGGGAGCGGGCAGGGTGGAGCTGGGATGTGATGGCGAAGAGGCCCTCAGCGCGCCCAGAGCAGCGCCCGGGAGGCAGAGCACCCTTTGCAGGGGCAGCTATAGGAAGAGCCAGGCAGAGGTGGAGCAGGCATCCAGGGTCTAAAGCACTGGAGGCCACCAGCCTGGGCCAGAAGGTAAAGCTTCTACTCCACAAATCCCCAGGGCATTTACGCTGTAGAGCAACGCTTCCCACAGCCAACCCCAAAAGACGCCATTGGGACACTGGGTGGCAACAGCAGGGCCTCGGGGCAGAGCACAGGATGACCTCGCAGGGGTGAGAAGCCTCTGATCTGCTTTTGAGAAGCTTTTGCTCATGCCAGGCGAGGTAGTGCAGAAGGAGTGCTATTTACACCAGCCTCTCAGAGCTCTTCAGGACTGGACCCCCTGCCAAACCCCAGCAAAAGGAAGCAGCTGTAATTGTTTAGGTCTTTTGGGTTACTCAACTTAAGAGAAATAACCATGCCAGGACAGGCAGGCCGGCAGCTCAGCAGTCCCAGCTCCCTCCCCTCAGCCTCAAACGCAAGACCAGGAGAGCATTTACAAGCGAAACAACAGAGAAAAGGGGCACAAGTCTCCCACGCCCCCAGGAAACAGGGCACGGGAAGGCAGCCCTTCCCCTCCCACCCTGAGCAGGAGGGAAAAATACCCCTCTTCCCCCCAAACTGACCTTAATGTCCCTGCTCCAGGGCAGCTGGACTTCACAATCTTCCCCTGCTTAAGATGTATCACTTCAGAGGAGCAGCGTTTGGGTATCCCTTGGCAGGAGGGTAAAGAAATACAGGACTTGACAAATTCTGAATATTTTTAATTTGAAATTAATTTAATATTTTTAAATTAAAATTAATGATTAACAGGTTTCCAGACACAACAGCTGATTTAACTCATTTAAGACCAAGCCACATGTACAACAGTCCCCTCAGCCAGGATTTCTCCCTGGGAGATACTCCGCTTCGAGCAGAATGTGGTTTCCAGCCCGGCAACCTCAACCATCAACGACAAAGACCCCGACTGTCCCAGCTCTGTGGGACAGCAGCACCAGCAGACTCTTTTCCAAGGAAAATACTATCCACACCAAGACTCTCAGATGCAGGCCTGGAACACTGACCACCACGTTGACCACTGGCATGTGGGAAGGCCACAGAAGCAAAACCAAGGTCACCACAAGGTAGCATCCTGGCACAAAGTAGTGCATTGTCCAGGTGTGGACAGTAAGAGGTCAAGGTGAAAAAAACTGGGGGAGCCCACACCTTCTCATCCCCTCAGCAGCAGAGACTAAAGGCAGTTTATCCAGCTGAGCAGGCACCCAGCAAGCCCCAAAACCACCAGGATGTTCCTCCACCCTGGCACCTCCGGGAGCAAGCACAACCCATTCTCCTGCTAACAAAACCCCCTTGCACGGTCTCCCAAGCCCCTGCTGAGCATGAAAAGGCACCTTTTTCCTCTTTAGAGTAATTTATTTATAGGTTTAAAGAAATAAAAATAGAAGAAGACGCGAAGAGTGCACACTAAGGAAAAAAAAGTTCATTGCAACAAAGCAAGAGCAGAAGCTGGGGGCGGGAAGGGGTCCCTCTGCTGATCCAGCGGCTTTTGAGAGAGAGGGATCACTCCTGTGTGCACAGCGACCGAGGTCAGTGGGACATGCCCTTCAAAACCCGCCAAATTCATTTTCACAGTACCCTATGTAAAGAGGCTGTGCCTGGACACCACGCCTGGAAAGAGAGCAGAGAGATGGCATCAACACAGACGGCCCCAGCGGAGCCCGGGGTCAGGTCCAAGGGGTCAGAGGAGCACCAGGTAGCCATCAGTGCCCTGTTTCAGGCACGACAAGGAGGGAGTGGTTTTCATCCTGCGCTTATAGACTCATTTTTTTGCTCACGCATGGGAGCATGGGGTAAGGGCAGGCTTCCCAGGGAAACTGGTGCCGCAGGAGGGGTGGCAATAGCTGACGGGTCCCCCTTCCTCAGCATGAAGCCCTCTTCTTGACAGAGCCACCAGCCCACGCTGGCAGCAGGGGCTCTTCCAGCACAGCACAAAGCAAGCTCTGCCCACGCACAGGCAGGAGAAAGGCTGGGAACCTTCCCTAAGAGCAGGGGTCATTTCGCACCGGGCAAAACCCACTTTGCCCTTGCTGCCCTCCCCAGGATTCCACCCAGAGAGGGTGGCATTTGTGCTGTCCCCACGAGCTGTCCAGCTGTGAGGAGAAGCATTACCCGAGAAGCTTGCAGCGGAAGTCAGCCAGCCGCACGTAGGCATCCTGCAGGTCCCTGACGGTCACGTTACTCCACAGTCTCTCAGCTACGGCCCCAGCTCTTGGCCTTGGAGGAACGAGGGACAGAGGCAGTCAGGTCAGAGGGGAGTTTGAAAGCTTCTTGCACAAAGCCCTGAGCTCCCAAATGCCTTCCCGACCGAAGTCCATCAGCACACAAAGGTGCAAGGCTTCTGTGTATCAAAAGATCCGCTCCTAGACACATGCAGATCAGGACCTACCAGGGTGACAGGAGAGAGACCAGCATTAAACAGGAACTGCTGGCAGGGGCAGGTTGTACATGAGGACATTGAGTCCTACAAACCCTCATCTGAGCCTCAGTGGAGCTGTTACTAGCATGGCAGTGCTGGCAGGGGACACGGACAAGCACCAGACACAGACCAAACACGCAGCGTTCAGCACACGTCGCTCAGCGACGAAGGAAGCAAGCCTGAGCCCTGCCCTGCGCGACTCAAGCCAACCTCCCCACGGCTTCTCTTACCAGAGCCTGGGGGCCAGGTTAGTGACGTCCACATATTCACCCCACATGCATGCCTCTCCGCCGATCACCCGATCCTTCTGCTCGGGGCTGCCTGCCAGGGGACACAACATTCAGGTGATGGGGTGTTGTACGATAATGGGGTGACTTATTGCCCTGCCCACAGAGGTGCCTGTAACAGCAGTGAGCAGCTCGGCTATGGAGGCAATAACTTGCCCTTCTGGAAGCCCCCGCTTCAAACCCTGGCCTGGGGGAGAGCGGAGTGGTTTTTGGTCAGCACAAGGGAACGGGACATGGCACAGGAACCAAGGATATGGTCACTCAAGCACCTTCACAACAGCAACGAGAACAAATTAGCAAGCCCCCCAGCCCCAGTGCTACCTCCCAGTGACAACTCATCTGTCATAGGGGAAGGGGACGCAATGAACACACCTTCAAACTTCAAGGGCTCCACCTGGTAGGCTGCCATCCAGTCCTGCCCGTAGGAGATGTGGTTGAGGTACCAGGGGGCAGAGAGCAAAGCCCGGTAGCCAGCCTTGGTGACATTGGCCAGCTCCTCCATGTAAGGTGCGCAGTTCTCCTTCCACACATGGATGATTGTGTCTGGCCTCACCTGAAGAACACGTGAACCCCGTGGGCACCAAGAGGGCAGCTCACCGGCAGCACCATCTCAAGATCAACCCCCCTCCTGTAACAGAGTAATCCCCGCCAGCCCCAGCATGGCACCAGTGTGTCTGGCCGAGGTTCTGGCACTGTTCACCTCAGCACAGGTAACTGCGTTAGGGAAAGCAGGCAGCTCTCACCTTCACTCTGTTGTCAAACACCTCCTGCCACACGATATAACCTTTGCCAAGGGAAGAGGTGATGTCCAGAAGCCTGGAGAGGAAAGAATACTGAGTTTTGGGTCATCCCAACTACACGCCCCTCTCTTCGCTGGTTGCATACAGCCAAAGCAGTAGCACCAATATTCCCAACACCCACAGCGGGATGTGAAGGTACTTCTGAAGGAGAAGAGAGAAAGCACAGCCCTCAGGCTTTTCTGAAGGTCAATCTCCCAATAAAATGTGGCTAGGCTACTCCCTTTGGAGTCAGGGAAACATGCGGGAGATAGGACAAAGGGAAACAGCCTCAAGTTGTGCCAGGGAGGTTGAGGTTGGACATGGGAAAAAATTCCTTCCCCAAAAGGATTGTCAGGCACTGGAAGGGGCTGCCCAGGGCAGGGGTCGAGTCCCCATCCCTGGAGGTATTTAAAAGCCAGGCAGACGAGGTGCTGAGGGCCAGGGTTTAGTGGTGGAAAGGCAGGGTTAGGGGAATGGTTGGGCTTGATGATCTTAAAGGTCCTTTCCAACCTAAATGATCCTGTGCCTGAATGAGCGTGCTCTCGAAAGGTGGCCCTGAGACAGCAGAAGACATTTGTGCCGGTCACATCCTGCAGCTGCAGGCCCAGGATGCAACTGTCCTTACCTCTGGATGTAGAATGACTCTAATTTTTTGTAATCCTCGCCAAAGCCCATCTCCTTCATGAAGGCACGAATTTTTGGATTGGATTTCCTGTGTACCAAAAAGAGAAGAGAATAAAAGCACTGCAACCCAAGCTCTGGAGTAAGGCCAAGCCACGGCCAAGTCCTTCCCACATTGGCCCAAGGCTAGCCCAGGCATTCCAAGAGCTTGTGGCTGTGCCAGCACCAGCGGCTTCCCACAACCAGCGTCACCATAAGCACAGAAACCCCAGGCACCAACACACAGAGCCCAGGGGAGCAGGACACCACAGATCTGCAGATGATCGTGATCAAAAAGCAATAGGCTGGGACTCCAGTCCCAGATACTTCCCTCCAGTCCCCATCCAGACTGATCTCGGACTCACCAGCATGTGAAGTCCACCTCATCACCACCGAGGTGAAGAAAGAAGTCTGGGAACACAGTGCTGACCTCTCGAAACAAACTGGTCACAAACTCATAGGTGCTGTTAAGGATGGGGTTGATGGGCCCATAGGTCCCAGAAGGATTCTTCCCCAAATAGCATGGAGTTAGGAGGCCTGGAGCACCTGGGTCGTAACAAACACAGGACAGTGAGGAAGGGGCTAAGCATGGCCATATCAACCCATATAATCCCCCAGACCCTCCTCAGCACAGCCCAGGGCCCACCAGGGGACAGAAGACCCAGGCACAGCACACCAGGCATAAACAGCAGCAGCAAAGTGACCTCTGGCTCAGGAATCCTCACCTGATGGGGAAGGATCTGTGTTCTGCACTCATCTTGTGCTCCCCCCATGCTGCCCCAAACACATGCTCCCAGGTAAGCTCAGCAGGGCTCAAGCCTTTTGGGCTGGACACCTCTTTTTCCCTCCTGCGACAGCTATTCTGTGGGTGGCACACAGACACACCAAATCCTTGCAGGGTGCCAGAGTTTTCACCCTTCCCAGGTTTCCCCTTGGTATCTCTAATTGTGAGCCCCACTACTTTTTTCAGGAGATTCCTACAGGAGAGCACACACAGAGCTGCAGGGGAAAGATAATGCTGGTGCAGCCCCCAGCACCCTCCTCCAGCTCCACGCACCCACTGCAGACAGGGAAGGGGGGCAGGCACAGTTTTGGCCTAGACCAACACGCACAGGTTGTGCTGTGGTGCAGGACATGGCATTTGGAGGTGGGAGGACAAAGCAAGGCAAGGGAACGTCATCCTGGAGCTTTTCACACTTCCAGACATGGAAGAGAAGGCACTTGCAGTCTTTGGAGCAGGGAGCAGCCTGTCAGGGCTGGGACACAGCTCAGCAGAAGGAAGAATCTTGGTCAGCCGCACCCCCAGTTAAACCCAAGATCCTTGCAATGCCCACAATACTGTTTTTGGCAGATGTTCCCCCCAGAATCACCCGGCTTGGACCCAAGAAGAGATGGAAATGTTTTCCCTTTGGACTTTGTTCTGTAAGTTGGACCATTGGGTCCTACTTCCCCCAGATGATGGTTTGCTCCTCCTCAAAGCCAGCCCACAGGACACAGCTGTCCACACCCAGCTTTTGGAATCCAGGTTGCAGATCCCCTTCTTTCCCCCTGCCCCAGTATAACTACAACTCTCCTCACAGCAGCAGTAGGTAGGGTCTGCTCCTCACCTGGACCCCAGGAGAGGGTGTGCCCAGGAGTGTCAAACTCTGCGATGACTCTGATGCCACGCAGCCGGGCGTACTCGATCACCATCTGTACGTCACTGGCTGTGTACACGTGGGTCATGGCATTGAAGGCTCCCTGGGGGAACACGGGAGGTCTCTGAGCCTTTCTCAGATGTTGAGGGAGGGATCTGCTCGCCCTAGGCTGGGTGCTACACGGCAATCAGGGTGGGTTACCTGCTTGCTGAGCTCTGGGAAGGTTGAGCTCTCGTAGGGGAAAGACGGGTCGTCCACAATGTGCCAGTGAAACACATTGAACTTGTTGTAAGCCATGACATCCTGGGAAGGAACAGGAACAAAGATGAACCCACCCTGTCCCTCCTGAAAGGTCACCCAGCTTGCCACAGAAAGGGGACAAGGTCCCCATGGCTCCAGAAGGACAAGACAGAGTCCCTAATCGCTCCCCAGGATCCAAGAGGGATTCAGACACCTCAGATCGTTGCAGGTGGTCAGTAGTGCTCCTGCTTACAACAAAAAATCCCTCTTCTCCATATAACTGAGCCAACGGTGGGGACCTGGAAGCTTAATTCTGCTTGGGATGAACACAGAACCACCACCCACCTTTGTCTAATGTGGCTGGGAAGAAGTCAGCATTTTCCCCTGCCTCAGAAACAACCTGGCCTCGGAAAGTAATCTGGATTGCAGGTATCCAAGATACCTCAGGGTTTTCTTCCTTATCCTATTTACAAAAGGAGCTGAGGAATCACCCAAATGAGGCAGCTGCAAGTTACACTGGGAGCAAACACAGCCATGGGCACTGGGAAGGACCTACAGCACAGAAACATTTTTCCATGATGCACATCTGTGTATTAAGAATTGAGGTCACCCTGCCATCCCACCCCAGCCTGCTGCTTCACTTAGGGACAAGTAAGCCGGTTTTGTTCAAAAAGCCTAGCTTTGACAAGCTCTTCCTCGATGAGATGTAGATGCAGTGGCCTATGCATTAGACAGTTCCTAGGATCTTTGGAAAGGAGAAACACAAAAAAGCCAAAAAGCCCTCCAGACCACTCAAGGAGCCCTCAGCTGCCACAGAGGAAGGGATGCTGAGCTAAACCACCCCATCTCCCAGCACAAGCGCCCTACCAGAGTTTCCAGGATGGCTTTCAGAGGCAGGTAGTGACGAGAGGTGTCTAGCAACAGTCCCCGGTGAGGGAAGCGGGGAAAGTCCACGATTTCTGTCTTGTTGATGTAGTACTGCACACGGAGAACATGAGGAAGAAGTGAGCAGGGCTTTGGGCAACACAGCCATTAGCAGGAGAAAATCAGGGTCACCTCTGTCCCCAGGGCTGACTCCCCCTCACTGCCCAGAGTGCAAGCTTGCCAGGAAAAGCCACAATGCTTTCCCCGCTCAGAAGGCAGGGATCTGGCTGGATTTGTGAATCTCTACTTGGCCCTTGGCGAGGCTGTGCTGCACTGCTGGTACCCCCTCATCCCAGCAAGCCTCAGCCTGTCCCCACAGAGGCAGGAGCATTATGGAGAGCTGACTGCCCCTGGGAGATGAGGCCAGGACTCACCGTGCCATTCTCATCTCTCCCAACGAGCTGGCTGAACGTTTCCAGGCCTGCAGAAAAACCACATGCAGTCACTTTCTCAGCACAGATTCCCCCAAAGGAACAGAGCTCAATTAACAAATAAGTCTATGGAAAGACAGAGACACAAAGACATCCCCATAGGCCTGGGGCAGGGAGAGCAGGCATGCCCGACAGAAAGCACACCTCACCTCTGAGAGCTCCCCAGACAGCATCTGCAGAGAGCAGCAAGGAGCCTTCTGAGACAGACAGCTTATCTGAAACACAGCATCAGAGGGGCGGCACCTCCATTAGGTCCCACACTCACCACACGCCGCTACAGGCCACAGCAGCGCCAGGCAGAAGTTTTGATACAGGACTGTACCCTGGCATACCAGAGAACCAACTTGGGTTTGTTTTTTGTTTTAAACCTCCCACTGCTTTATCAGCATCCTCAGGTAAGTTGCTCCCTCCCTGCCCCTGTTTCTCAATCACACAGTGAGGATGCTGCCTCCCTAAAACGGGGGTAAGTGCTTGCACAGTGCTATTTACAACTGACAGGCATGGGCACAGCCACGCGCCCGATACGCACAGCTTTCCTTGGAGTCCAGGCTGGGAAACCCATCACAGCCTGGCGTGGCAACAGAGACAAGCAGCTGAGTGCAGGGCGTCCCCCAGGGTTCCTCGTTCTCTGCAAAAGACACAGACCACGGACATCAATCCCATCCTGGCTCTTTTCCCTGCTTCCAGCCCACCGCCGTCTCCCCAGCCCAGCTTGCGACAGAGGTGCAGGAGTACATGGACTTTTAACACACATGGCAGAAACGGGCACCCCCCTCCTTCATCCCAGAGCAGGCACAGAAGGGGCTTCTTTCAACACCGGCAACCAGGAGCACGTGAGCTGATCCAAACCTTCAGCTCGGAGGTCTGCTGGTGAGGAAGCCCCCAGGGAAGGCTTCGCAGTGGAAGCTTAAAGGAACATACAAAAGAGGAGAAACATCAGAGTATGGTCTAGCAGCAGCCCCCAAGGCTTCCCAAACACCAGCCCCTGCGCTAAGCCATGACTACCCAAATCTTCTCCAGGGGGAGTGAAGAGCTTCACATTTCCAAGCTCTCCCAGTGCTGGGGGGGAAAAAAAAAAAAAAAAGCACAAACCCAAAAGCTCTGCTACCCTACTCACAGTTCTCAGAAAGGGCAAAGAAACCCTGTAAAAAAGGGTGGAGAATAAATCCAAGCATATTGCAGAGTTGGGCTGAGTTAGAGGCCACCAAAAGGTCTCGCCCAGCACAGAAAGGCTCCCAACCTTCACCTTCTGCAGAGGAGGTCCCAGGCACAGCAGCTGGAAAAATAAACCCAGCCTCATTCATAGAATCATAGAATGTTTTGGGTTGGAAGGGACCCCTAGAGGTCATCTAGTCCAACCCCCCTGCAGTGAGCAGGGACACCACTAACTAGATCAGGTTGCTCAGAGACCCATCCAACCTGGTCTTCAGACCCCAAGCAGGAGGTCTGGCCACACTTCTCCATCTGAAGGAGGTCTCCCAAGGATGCACAGCCCCAAGTCCTCACTGGAGTTGCTTCCCAAACTCCAAAGGGAGGTGTTCAGCCTTCGCTGAGTCACATGGGTCTACTCACAGCAGCCTCCGGGCCAGAAGGAGCACAGGTTAGCTGGGTGGGTCCCCACTAATCACAGCCAAAGTCCATGCCTGCACCCCCACAGTGTTCCCAGGAACAGCCGAATACGGTTACTAAAAGATTAAAAGCTGGGCTTTGAGTAAGGCTGGTCACAAGCTGGGCACCAAGCAGACTTCAGAGAGACCATGGCACTGCCAGCATTCAGATGAAACACAGACAGCCGTGCTCCAAAGCTCGCAGGAGCCAGAAATCCCAAATTTTTTCATGAAGGAATGGCAAAACCTCCGCGGAGAGAAGGGAAACAGCTCAAAGGTAGTCCTCAGTTTTAAGCTTTCCTCTCGGTTACAGACAAGCTGGTAGCCAAGGCAACCTCGCAGCCGCGCGAGCTGGCACACCGGCACAGCAAGCCCTGCTCCCTCTGCTCGGCAAGATGGCAGCTCCCCAGGGACAGCCACTGTCAAGATGGGGGACACAGGTAACGCTCATTCTGTTGAGAAGCCTCAACAGAATTGGTCCCACCACCATGCACCATGTTTAAACCTGCCCAGGGAGACGTTGCCAAACCCAAACGTGGCCTCCTTGGCCAAGGAACAGGCAGGCACCACCACTATCACACCGAGAAGGCAATGCAGATGGGTGCAGCAGGGATCAGTGACCCATCAACCACAACAAGCTCGAGTTCATAGTTCAAAAGAGCACTGTGAAGGTGCAAGTTGAGTTATTTACAGTCATGGACTGGAAGACAAGGACGCTTAACACAATGATCACGGTATGCTGGCAGCAATAAGACATCAGGTATGGGAGGACCTGGCTTGAGCTCCATGCAGGGTCCTGGGTCTCTCCCAGACTCATTTCAGAGCCGCCCAGCTTAATGACAAGAAACAAGGGAAGAGCAGCACAGGAAAACACAACTAGAGATAAAGAAAAAAACCAAAACTCTTCACCTTGAGAGTGGTCAAACACTGCAGCAAGGGCTCAGTTCTCCATGTCGGAATGTGGCAATTTCAACTGGATGCAGAAGCATGACCCAACTGCAAAGTTGTCTCTGACTCCAGGCTTGGCTCTGTTTTGAGCCAGGGCTTGACCAAAGACCTTATGTGTCCCTCCTAATTTAAACTGGTCTCCGTTTTCATGCCTGCATGAATGCAGAGTTTGGACGTAATCTCACTTGATTTTTAAATTGACAGAGCAGCTTTCTGAAACAGACAGAGAATGGTTTCTTTCTTATTTTCTCTATTAATAGAAACTATTTTCTTCCACACACAGTTTCCATTGCTTGTTATTACTAACTACCCATGCAGAAAATACCAAAGGCAGGCAAAGAGGGGAAAAAAGCCTTAAAATTAAGCATGTAGTTTGAGTGTCATAAAGCAGGGCACATGGAAAAGCGATGAGTATGCACCCAGAGCTCAGTCTTGTGATCACAGGAAGTTGCTCCAAGTGATTTGACAGTCACATTCCCCTCTGAGAGGAACAGGAAAACGTGAATAATTCTATCAGCTGTTTAAGTTTAGTTCCTAGCAGCAAAAAAAGAAACAAGAGGAATCTTCTCTGCTCCCAAATCGAGTTCTATTGATACTTACAAGAGTTGAAGAAAGAAAAGAAGCCACATGGGTTCTTCTCAGTGTTTCAGACTTGCCTTTTTCAAAGCACCATGTACTCAAGACGAAGCAGATCAGCTTCCAATGCCATTACCCTTCTCCACTTTGATCAGCGGTGACAGAGTTCACGCTGACGTTTAAAACACTCAGAAGCAAGAGTTACTAGCTCTTATTGATGAATGAAGCATTTCATATTTCCCAGATATAGTGTTTCAGCCTGCCACAGACCCCTGTGGACACCAAGTATCCGTGTGTGCCAGCTCCCCAGCCTGTGTTTGCCTCTGCAAATGGAGACAGGGAATTTCCCGCATTTTATCCTGGATGTGCAACAGGTCCTATCACAAAGAAATCCGGGTACAAGAAACCGTTATGACTGATCCCAAATCAAGCCTGGGCTCTCAAAGCTTTTGCCGTTCCTCACCTTACTGTACAATTTCAGGGTGACTCCAAGAGCTACTACCTCTCTCTGCCAGAAAAGCCACACTGCCTGTGGATGCTTAGCAGCTCACCTTATGAAAAAAGGGCAGGAAGAGCCCCGTGGCATGAGTATGTCCTTGCTAGAAACACATACGAAGCTGCAAGAGTCTTTCCTCCAGGTAAAGCTTCATGCTCGGACACCAAGACCTGCTAGAAACAGGAAGAGCTGAGACTTGTTGAAAGCACTAAAGCTGGAGCGATTGCAACACCCATAGCAGCTCTCCCTGCAGTCACAAGAAAAGGAAGCATAACGAAGCGCTGGGGAGCTGAAACACAGTCTGGGGGAGATAAAAAAATGAGATAGAAAGAGCAAACTCTTGATAGCAAGAGCCTCAGTCCTTGAAGGAAACGCAAGTGCTCTCTGTGCCAAAGACGATTAGGTTTTATTTTAAAACGCGTGCACCGCAGGCGTTGCCCTCCACATGCGAACGCAACACTTTGCTGGGAAACTAAATGCAAGCTGCCGCGCCACCATCACACCGCACAGCCATCATCGCGCCTCACCAGCCCCTGCTGA